AAATCGAGGCGAGTATTGATTACTGATCATTTTTTTCACACTTTCATCGAGTAAAGACGCTTTCTGTTTTTACCCACCTCCTCCCCTTTTCCCAACCTCTCTGATACGTATTATTGTCGAGCTTATACATAAATATATAATATATAGATTTAGCCAGGGCTAAAAGCGAAGCTCCAATTTTAATAAATTTATAAATTAAATCAAACAATAAACTTTTAATCCACAAATCATTTAACTTAAGGGCACATTCATGTGACTTTTGAGGGAAAGGCTAAGTTATTTTAGAGTGAAACATCTTACGTCGAACTGATAACCTTACATGTACACCCAAAAAACAGCAAACATCTACGATCACATTCAAGATCACAGTAGATTAGGCCTCGAAAACAAATTCTTGGAAAACAAATCGCCCCACATTTTTTTGCGTTCGACAGGTTTACTTTACAAATTCTTGCCAACAAATTTGGGGGTGTTTAAACCAACCTTTTATAATTTTTATACACCACATTTGAGGTGAAACAGTACTATTTATCATACAGAGCTCAGACAGAATGCGGTATTTCACAATTTTTCAAGACAAATTGCACTCAGTCAATATTCAGGACGAGTCAAACCGTTCAAAAATTTCATAAAAGTTCCAAAATCACCCATACGGCCAGCTGGTTCTCGTTTCTATAGTGCGAGCTGTCAGTGTGGTCGAGTGTTTGAATGGACTTTAACAGAGTTACGCTTCAACATAATAGCGAATTTATTATTATTTGTTTTGTTGTTTAATGGTTTCAGTTATAACGATGTGTAATCTTATAAAACGTTTGATACGCGCGACATTTTTGAGTACTCCTGTAAGCGATGGTCATGAACGATGAAAACAAACGGCACGGACAAGCGATTACAATTGCAAGAGAGACTACTAACAATCAAAAAAGAGATATAATTCCGTGAAACATTTACAGAGACAACAATTTTCATTCACGAAGACAAGTATTAAAGTGTCTCTAAAAATCCTGAGTCTTTAAGCGTAAATCTTAAGTTTATGTTTTTGCGGCTTCCGGCGCGGTGTTTACTGTTTTCGAAGGTGAACTCCTCGAAGCAAGAAAATCGCTCAAAGTTTTCTTTCTACAGCCAAATTTATAACTAAATATTTTTCGGAACGTTTTCTTCCTCTTTGCGGTGAGGAAATATATCTGAAGGCTTTTTAAAGTTCTGTAAGCTTACATCAAACCTGATACTAGGTCAGATCATCGACTCAAATCCTACAAACGTGCATAAACTTGCCGCATAAACTGTCGGCGTGAACTATGCAAGACTTCATGAAATTAGATATAACAAAAACAAACATCAAATACAATAATTACTTAGGCTTACCATTCGAGATTCAGTTACTGAAAGCTATCAAGGAAGGCCACAGTTGCTTGAGACTTTTAAACCCTCTTACGCATTAAGCAAGGTGAAAAACGAAAACGACGCCATCCGCAATCGAATTACCGAATTTTGACAAGCGAAGCATTTCTCAACCAAAACCCAGTAAACAAACCAGCCATGAATAACAGAAGACTCTTGATAGCTGCTGTATTTCATTTTGTACATCCAGAGGAAAAAGACAGTTAAAAACATCACAAGTTGACACAAAACTCTGTCAGCTTCAGCTCTCAAATTAAACTACTTTCAAGATGCTGCATAATTTTTCCGCATGAACTCACCTGTCAAATTTTGACCAATCAGAGTATAAAAATTGGACGTAGAGCGTGACCAACGCGTGACCATGGTAAGATAAGGTCTTCCCCCGCCTTTACTTTTAAAAAAACTGGGTGAATTTTCGCTTCCGAGGTCAGTTTGAAATCAAAATCCTAATAGTGCGGGGCCATAGTGACATAAACACAACATATTTCATATGAAACATTGAAAAAAATAAACTTGAGCCTGCGATCATTTGAAACTTTGTCAGCGGATAACTTTAAAAAAATATTCGACCTCGATGGGTCGACACTTGAGCCCGCGGTACGGTCAGGTGGTACTAGTCAGCGGATTCCCATGTTTTGATAGCTGTCAATTGATCACAACATTGATTGATTGATGATTGATTGATTCAACAATTAGTTTTCTCTTGGGCTCCCAAACTAGCTAAAAGTGTGAGAGTAAACATTGGTTCTCCTGTGGTGCGGACGGACGGCGGGCGGTCGGTCGGTGTACGGTCACGTGATTACCAATTTTCTGAGATGGGTAGATTTACTTAGCAATGGGGCTCCGCCCACGCGCGCGCGAGCTCCGCTATAATTTTGTTTTGGGGTTTTTTTGTGCCCTCACCTTTACAGGGCTGATCTTTAAAGTATGTTTTTCAGACAATAGAATGTTGATATTTAAATAAAGGCGGCTTTGGGCGTTTGACCTTAGCCATTTTTCTCCATATGGTGTATCTCTTTGATAATGAGCCCAGTAAACAAGCTCAGACAATGTATCTCATTAATTAATATGTTTGAAAGGGAAGGAACAGTGTGCAAAAAGGTACATATTCGCGACCGAATTTGCCCGAATACGGATAGGCACACGTGGAGTGTACGATAATATCCTGAGGTATTCAAGCACGCATGACGCGACGCACACCTAGAATATTCTACCTAGAATCCGGACTGTTTTTCCGAATTCAAATAGAATACCTTCGAATACTATGAAGCATTCTAAACGGCATACTCCCGACTCCTTTTCTAAAAAGATCGATATTGACCAGCTTCGAACAATGATGATCATTTGTCATCGGAACATCTTAGTATGACCACAAATTTTCGAGTCCGCATGCGACGCGAACACGACAGTGACGAATGGTTTACCGGACGCGAACACGCCCGAATACTAACGCACATCTCAAGTGTTCGCCGCGTTTGCGAACCCATGACTTTGCATTACGTGGGTATTCTGCAGTATTCATACTCGAACAACTACGAACACCCTTCGCGTTCAAGAATATGACTAGAAATACTTATCTCGTTCCTGAAATTCAGTTTGCATATTCTTGAACATGAACGTGTTTATATATTATTGGATGATTACGCTTTTGAGACGTTCAGATGCTTTGGTCTTAAAGGATTCACCTTCACATCGGGTCTATACTTAGATCTATCTAACCGAAGCCCAGGAGTGTCCTTTTTGTCTAGCCTCTATAGCAGACGTTCTTGGGGCTTCGCCTCGCGCTACTTGGGGAAGGAACGCATGACGAAGCCCTAAAAACGACTCCATGGACTACTTTTTGTCTCGTGCAGTTCAATGAAGGAAGACATTGTAACTATCAGCCATCAAAACTTTATTTAATAAAAATTAACAATTTAGTTAGTTATACAGTATTAACTAATTGTAAAAAATGCCATTTAAAATTGTCCTGGATTTTCCTTTGCCATTGATTAAAAGTTTCCTCCTGGATAATTACAAAAAGAGATGACATTGTCTCTTTCACCAAGCTTGAAAGGAACAAAACTTCCTAAAAAACCATCCAAAAAAGCTCCAGTGCTGAATAGTAATCATTGCTTAGCAAATCAGCTAGTTTATAAATACATGCACTTACTTAGGATAAACCTTTTCATTTCAACACAAAAAAAATCAATGTTACTTCAAAAGTTTGTTGATATAGTAATAATATTGCTATTCATATGTGAGCAATACTGCTGCAGTAGAAATAATTCATTGTTTCTATTTGTAAATTTAGGATGAAATCCTAACCTCGAAAGAAATAACGAGGAAGATAATTTATCAGACAATACTATTCTCAGTATGTTACAGAATAAAATGATTAAAAAATAGCCCTAAGAAGCCTGTTAGAATGAGAGAGTTAATCAGTTTCAGAGTCATCACTTCCAAAATAATGGTATCGTTTTCTCCTCCTGTGTGGTGATGCCACTGGAATTTCTGTCTGCACCTCCTCTTTCTCCTCCGGCTCTGAGTTGTGTTCAGATTAACCTCTTCTGCGTGCTCTTCCACCTTCTGAGAGAGGTCCCTCGAATCTTGGCACACGTGGTCGCACTTCCTCTTCTCTTGACTGATCGATTCTTCTTTTGAGTCTGCTCATTAATACATTGGCCCAAGGGGGACCTCCACTTTAACTCGTGCACTGAAAAGCTGAAGGAGATTTTAAAATTTACATTAAAATCAGGCTACATAAATTATATGCCCTGTACTAGGACTCGTTTTTATGCAGAGGTCTTAATTCCTATAATTGCAGAAAAAATGTCCACAATAAATTTATTTTATTAATCATTTACTTGTGGGTAAAATATTTTGCTACAACTAAAACAGCAACTTACAGCTGCTATTACAGTTAAGCCTGCAGTTAAATATTCTTTTGTCTAAAAGAGACGTGATAGGGGCCTATGGGTGATGATCTACTTGGTCATTGCAAAGTCAAAACTGCTGTTAACTGTAATTTGGCACCGTACAGATTTATTATTGGTTGATGCTTTTTACACATACAGTGGCTTACAAAATTAAAGAAGTTCAAGTCAACATACCCTTTTCCTTCATGAACATACTTTGTTGTCCTATTTTATTTTTGGTGGTTTTCAGGAAGTGACTGTAGGTACCTAACAATGGCACCTGCAAATAAAAGTGAAGAGAGTGTCATTTTAAGTATTATAATATCAAATCAGACCAGCTTCATCCATAATTTCACTCAGCTGAATACATGTAAACATATGCATAGCTTTTTAAGGTTTTTGAGTAAGTGCGAAGAAATTAAGGTTACCGGATACATTGTACCCTCAGGGATGTCATGTGCAAGTGATCTCGTGTGTTCCAGTTAAACTGTAGACACCTAAAACCCTATTTCAAATAAAAGCTTGGTGAACTGCTATCTAGACCAACATTTTTTTTAAAATAATTGCACTATCAATTTTTTGCGATTCTTTTAATGTGAACCCAAATCACCTTTCCAAAGCTAAAATCCAAAGTGATTTTTTTAATTAATTTAGGAGGGCCATTATGAAAACTACTGGGTGACCAGTAATCAATGTCTTTACCCTCGTTAAATAAAGTTATTACTTACTTACTAATTAGTTCTATTCTTTTGGAAGTCAAAGTGCTTAAAACTTGTGGGGGTTTTCCCATTTCGATTCTGGTGAAAAGTTACAGAAAAATTTGTAAATAGGGCTAAAAAAATTTGGATGATTATACAAAAATTCCTTTCAACAACAAAGTTTTAAGAAACACAAAATTCACCCATTACATGTTTGTTGCTTACTAATTAAAGAAACGTTCCTCAAAATTTTCGGTCCATTGAACAAATTCCCTTTGACCTTTAGCTGAAACGGTATCTATATTTGTACGATCCTGCAATTTAAGAGAAAAAAAAAGCAGAAAAAAATCGACAGTGAACTTTTTTAAAAGTGTTGGTTTCTAAAGATAGCCAGTTCAATAAAGGTTTAAATTATTGGTATACATGTATGGTTTAGATATCTGCAGTTTAACCGGAAAGCCCTACCACACTTGCATGTGAGTAACCCGGGGGCCTATGCTGAAGGTATCCGGTAACCTTAAGTAACACAGAATGACAACAACACCATTGTGCATAACTTTGCACTGGTTAATTGCGTTGAGTTGCATGAAAGGTTGCCAAATAAAATATTATTATTCATTCAAAACATTTCTCCATTTCAAATTGGAAAATCCCCACACTAATCCTTCACAACCAACAACTGTTGACCAAATTTGGAAGTTGTTTGCCATTATTAATTTATGAAAAATGAGTCACTTTTACAGATAACTGTTCAGAACAAGGGACTGAAGGTATGGTAGCTCAGCTGGTTTTGGTTGAGCTGAAGAAAATCACAAAAGATTTCATCCACAGTAAAAAAAACCTAACTACTGGCTAAAAACATAGCAACAATAGTAAAAATACCATTCGATGGATGATAAATGCTATTTGAAGAATATCTGTTAGAATAATATTATAAATGTAGAGAAGAACATCGCAGTTTAAGTTGCGAATAGAAAGCCTGAAAAACATTCAGGCCCAGCGAGATTTGAACCCTGACCTTTGCGATACCAGCTTAGAACTCGGCTAACCAATTGAGCTACATGTAGCAAGCCAACTGGGAGCCAGGTCATTAAATTGGTTTGTAATATACCCAGGAAAGGTAAAGATGAAATGATGAACATATGAATTTTATATATTGGAACTGCAGAATAAAGGAATAAATGCAAAGACCTACTGTGATGATCTTCTTTGCATTTAATATCCTTCATTCCACTTTTCCAGTACCTGAAATTTATATATTCATCATTTCAATAGTATTATGAAGATGGGAGCTTTTCATTGATCAAGGTATAAAGCATCTTTTTAAGTTGGAAGTATTTAGAATGAATAATAAAACAAATCTTAAAGGGTGTTAACCACCTAGGCCTTCAGTCTAGGCAACAATACCAATAACAATTGCAAAATTATTGTACTCTTAACCACATGCCAGTCAACAATGGATACCATATTATTTTTATGACAAGACTTATGCTTGACTGTCTTAATGGCATAACTGTTATCTTCGTTAGCTATCTGCTCTTCCAAAAGGTGTCACACAGACATGTTGTGTGGTGAGAGAGCACTAGAAACATCAAACCAATTAACAGTTATTGAATGAGGCTGAGAGTAAAACAATAATCAAGGATAAGAGTTACTATCTGTATAACTCTCTTTGAAAATTTAAGAAGTTTTTTTGTAGGCAGTAAAAAACACCATAGCAGAAACTTAAGGATTTAGGAATGATTATCTTCTGAAAACTGTAGGAAGTCACCTTAATTTTGACAGTTCAACTATTTTTGGATAATCACAGCACAGGAAAAAAAATCATCATACCTTTCCTCAGCTTGTATTGTCGGTCCAATGACAAGTTGTTATGAAGCAGATGCACATCTGCCTAAAGTGAACAAAGTGGGATTTTTTGTTTGTACAAAACCATACTCCACTAAAATTACAACTGCAACACTAATAACAGTATTACTGATGAGGTATCAAGCTACATTGTACTTAATACAGAGCTGTCATTAAAAATAAAAACAACCCCGACAAACATAACAAGCCTCACACTCTTAGTAACCGAAAAAAAGTGTATCCTATCAGTTCTAATAAAAAGAACTGCTTTCAAAAGGGTCCTGACAAGAACTAGGACTTTTAGTCTGCCTTCTCGGCTGGAGACCTAGTAACTTGCACCATTCCAATCCTATTCCATTCATCTTGGATTGTATTTCGCTTCTAATCTGATAGAGGAGTCAACAGAATCCAAATTCATGGCTGGAGCAAAATTAAAAATAGATAAGACAAAGCACTCGCCCAGAGCTACAGGGAGTCCCATCTTGCCTGCTTGGTTAGCCAATTAGAATGCAGGGTATTAGCCTGAGTATCAGGCGTTTCTGGGGGAAAAGAGGAAAGATGGAAGCGAAAAAGGGAGAGAGCTGAAGGAGAGAAACGCCTGACACAGATGCTTTTACTGGAGCCTTCCACCCCCACACAGCATGATTCGATACCATCCAATCAAAATCACTTCCGGTCATTGGGTTGTCAGCTTCACGTGTCAAAAAGCTCGCCTACAATAAATCTCACCTTACAGTCTGGCCGAGCTCTGGTGCTTGTGTTGCTACAATTTCACTTTTTTCTGAAACCTCTAATGAGGAGTTGTCGAATACTTGTAATGGAAAACCTGCCGTTTTTGAGGAGTTATAACATGTTTTAGGAATTGTGCTAGTAAAAAAATCGATAACGCTCTGTTTGCAAATAAACGTGTGACCGGAGAATTGTAAATTGCTTTTGTTTACATACAACAGAGAGTCTAGCAGCTAAAAAGCTGATGTAGATCAGGCCGAGAATCGTCTAAGGGAAAATATCTTCTTCTTCAAGAATGAAGTTTTGTTGGTTATCCCTCGTATTCGCGGGTGGTTGAAAGGAGCTACAAGAATAAATAGGAAGGTGCGATGGTGAAACACCTATATGCCTAGAAAATTATCACGCAGCAGCAAATTCCACCACTTCACAGAGAGCTCGTGAAAGCTGTTACAAGTTCAGTTAAGAAAGAAGGGAGAGCCTATAGCAAAGGTCAATCCTGTTGGCGAAATATGATGGCGCCCGCTTGAGTTTAAGACATTTCAAAAGTGAAAAAAAAAAAAATTGGAAGAGGAAGCGAACGAATTCCAATCACTTACGCTATCGTAACCGCCACAAGCAAAGTCAGGTTAAAGCTTTGGTGCTGTCGGCTATTCTCAATACATGGCTACCTCGCTCTAATTTTATTTACATTAACAATACACTTTTAACGGCAGGATGTTGTAAATCAGAACTTAGATATCTGAAGCACTGATATCGTCTTCTTTGTCCTGGTCTTGTGAAACCAATACTCAATACATAGTTTCGGCAGAAGCTGGTATATGAGGCTTTTCCATTCTCCGAGAACATCTTTCCTTTTAACTACGAGGCTTTGAAAACACAATTCTTGCTCGGTTTTATTTTTATTCCAGGAAAGAACTTGAGAGCGCCCTCTAGAGCCTTTTTGAATTCCTCTCTACGTCTCTGTCCATAAAGTACCACATGAAATCAAAACATCGATGGCAAATTCTTGCCGATCGTTCTGCTCGTATTTACTTGCGGTCGGTGACGTCAGGGAGTATTGTGTGTTATCCAATCACTGCCACATCCAGATTTTGGATGTGTCACACGATTTCCTGAATGGTTTTGTGTCACGCCTTCCTTTCTCTTCTCCCCCTCCCCACTCCCCCATCTAAAATCTCCTCTCCCCTAGCCCCTTAGGAAGGCCTGATACTCAGGCTAGCAGGGTATGCTTCATCTTGCCTACTCAAGGTACAAGGCATAATTTTATGATAAATACTAATATCAAGCAACTGGAATTTTTTTTTTTTTGTCTTTAGCATGGAAGTAGTACATGTATTTCAAGATTTACATTTTGCAGAACTTGTCTTGATTGACTAAGCATACAGCACTGTAACTTGTGACTGAAATTAAGTTCCATGATCCTGCTTGCTTTGAGAGAACTTTCTGCTGTCCACTGAAATGTAACCCGCATTGCAGCTAGCCCACGTAGTCGTCTAAACCATTTGCATAGTGTGTTAGCGAATTAGTGCACGAAAACACATTACAATATCCAGCAGAGACGCAAGGATATTTGTGAGCGTTTCTGATAGGCGAGTTTCTTACGGTTTTCTTATGTGCCTCACGATTGGCCTAATTCTTACGTATGCATGATGGATGGGCGCAGTGACTTGTCAAAATTCGCAGAATTGAGTCGGCAAGGATCGTTTACTGTAAACAATGAAAGTTCAAACTTTAAAGCCTTCTTCTGAAGAACAAAAATGCTTTGAGAGAATTCCTTCAAGGCCAGAATTTGCTTGTAAATTTGCTGACTGGTTTTCCAGCATCTTCTAATCGCTGCAGATGTACTGCCGCGTATTCTGCAATTTAGCCGACAGTTCTAGCATCAAAACAAATCAGGAAATCATAATATTCACTGCAAATAAAAAAAAAAATTACACACATGTTGCTATTCAGGTCCAGGCATTTAGGAGAAAACCAAAGAAACTAAGGTTATTTAGCCGTAACAAAAAACCATAAGGCTTAAAACACAGGTAAACGAAAATCATTTTGTGGTTAACTGCATATGTGATCATATCCTGTCAGAAAACATCTGCAGAAACAAAATTACTCACTATGCATAGAACAGACCAGCTTCATAACCTCTAAAAGTGAGACTCGAAGTGGTCCAAAAAATTTTGCCTAGTGGAAGTGTATGATACTCCATGCACTGCATAAACTACACAAAAAGAGAGCAAGAAACACTTCTGTTGTTCAAGCTGACTCTAAGGTCACGTTTCACACTATCACAAGCTCAGTCTCTCTTGTCATGAGCGAGCTATTAGTCGAGTTGGGCCTGTCAACAATTAATTAAAATCAGACTAATCAAAAACTGCTTTAGAAAGTAGCCAATCAAAAATGCTGACATGTCCTTGCGACTCTGCGGGATTCGAACACAATATTGTGCACTAATTCGCGAACGCTCTATACAGAAGGTTTAGAGCGTCTGCGACACAGACAACTGAAATGAAGACTTAAAGAGGCTGTGTCACAATATTTAGTATTGTCTGCATCATTCTTTTAATCATGTCAATTGCACGTACTGTATTTGCCACAAACTTACTTGTCAGTCACAGCTTTGTGTCAACAAATATGTCTCCCAAGCACCAAACTCTACAGACCAGAAAAATGAAATTTGCAAAACTGTTAGGCTAACAAATTTCAAAAGGAACAATTACCATCCTTTTCAATTTTCTTTATTAAAAGTCCATCATGTCCATCTGTTCCTCATTTTAACAAAAACAACAATCTTTATTTGTACTCACTCTTGCTCTTTGCTTTGTTACTTAAACGTCCTGTTCATGTTTTGAGCAGATATGTTTTTTTTGTTTCAATGAGGTGGTGGTGGTTCCCACTGCTGAAATTTTGATAAATTTCGTGTCACAGCTCCTTACACTTGCTAAGTACTAGTTATTGATCAGTACCAGAGCAGCTTACCTCGTCTTGCTATCTGTATTTTGTGTATTCTCCATCAACATCCTCCGTCTTGGATAGCCTTAGCACAATCAGACACTCCAACTTTCAAATAAAACTTGCGCATCACGAGGTTTTTGTCTCACATTCTGCTCAACCGTGTAAGAAAAGAGTCGCTTTACAAGGGAAGCGATCGATTACTGAACCCCGGTAGAGGTCGTTAAATATACATAACAACCCTTAGATGTTTCGTGGTGCTATCGGGAAGCAAAAATAAACAGACTTCACGCTCCTAAAGCCTAAAGAGGCTGGCAAGTTTGAAACCAATTTGAAGCCGTTCTGGTCCTGCCTCGTACCCAGACGTCTCTCTTTTGATGAAAATGTGCGCGCAAAGGAAGGCGGGCGACAACGGGCGAGACGTCTGGCAGATCTTGTTTTCAAGATGGCGGCAAGAGCAATGGCGGATGAATATGCAGTTTTTAAAATAAGTTCAGCGCTGCTCATTTTGCGAATTTTGAGCAAATTATTGCCTATCCACGTCGTGTGTATGAAGAGGAAGCTGTATTCCCCCCACACGTTGGACTCAAGCATCATAATGTTTACTACCGAACTTTAAATCGAAACACTACTAGCCGCGGACGGGACGGTACTGCCTTTAATTTAATAGGGAGCTTAAGCAGCGACGTTTTTGAGCGACGCACGTCAACCGGAAGTGAGCCTTTTTCTCTTTTAATAAGCCTTGACGTTACTGTATTTGTATTGCCAATTGGCTTAATTCTTGTAGAGACAATCTGCCCAAAAATGTGTTGAAAATCACGGTTCAAGTGTGCAAAAAGTCCATTTCCGGTTGACGTGCGTCGCTCAAAAACGTCACTGCTTAAGCTCCCTAATGAAACTGCCGCACGCCAAGGTAACAGCCGGTCAGGAAAATTAGTAAGTTAGTAATTTAGTAGTCGTTTCTGTTAAGGTCCCGAGTGATGAAACGATCTCTTCTGTCGAAGTGAAAAATGGCGAGTTGAGAATTGTTGCAACAAGCAAATGAAGCCAAATATTTTGTAAAGCTTTAAAATACTGTTCGCTGCACGCTGTATCTTGAGTACTCGAAAAGGCAACAAACCAGTCTAGTCTCAAGACCTCTAAGTTATGTTATTAAATAGATGATAAAATATTTTTTAAATCTGTTAAATTTTTGTCTCAGGATTTCGCATTGTGTATCATTTGCTCGACAATGTAAGCTTATGTACAGGAAAAACAGCCACAAAACTAGGTCTAGGTTTTTTTTATTTGTAGTTTTTTATTGTTCGATTACCTCACTGGGTACTAGACTTGTCACTGAATGCACAGCCCGGTGTAAATAAATTCTACTTACTTTTTATTTATGTACCTCATTTTATGATGAAGCTGTGTCGAATGTGCAGCAAATACTTATTGTCTGTATTGTTTTTTATTTGTTTTTGTGATATTACACAATAGACCAATTGGGTTTTGCCATGCTCTTTTATAACGCATCATTTGTGTCTTAATAAAAAAATTATTGGTAACTTTGGTTTCAATTTGATAGACAATATTGTTTTGTTTTGATTGAAGAGGGTGATGTAGTTGATGAGATACCATCGTAACTACCATTTGGCCAGACAGGAGACGTTGTCCTAGACACCTTCTTTAAAAAAATAATTGTGTTTCAATATTTCAAATTTCATGGCAAACAAGATGCTGTGAATGCCATTTTAGAGAATGATGATTGCATTGTCTCAGTGCCAACTGGTGGTAGGAAAGACTGAGTATTATGAAGTTCTTGGGATCATTCTACCCAGATTCAACATTATTGTTCCTGTGATTGCTTATACATGGTTCCTTTCTTGGCAAACCTGTGGTAGCATAAAATTCCCCTCAAAAGTCTGAGTCTTCTGAAGGGGTAGTTTTTGACCTGCTTTGGAGTTGCAGAGGAATACAAGATCATCTAATAATTATCAATGGGCACAGAATTACCTTGAAATGCAAAAAACGTTACAGTAAGTATAGATGGTTCTGCATAACTACTAACCCCCAACCCCCTTCCTAGAAATTTTAACTACAAAATTATAATCAAGATACAAGCATTGAATGGAAAGAACAGTAAAAACAGGCCCCTGGACAAACTGGAAGAATATGCAGTAAAAAACACTACACTACACTATTAGTAGGCTAATGGCAGGTCTATTAACAGTGTCAAGCAATGAAAAATGCCAGCTGTTTTATGCATGGACCAGAAGCTCTGCCATGCAAAACCCTCACCCCTTTCCATTGCTTCGACCTCACCCAGAGAAATAGAAAATATTGCTCCTATTCCTTAAATTAGTGTCACTGGACATTGAATTGATGTATGTTTTATGAACCTCTACCAAGATTATTGAACTGAGATGTGGTCAGGTCATTGAACTATGGTCAGCAAAAGAGAAAACCTGCACCTGCACCCCTAATCCAACTTAAACTCGATCTAGCTGTCTTGCCCAAAGTAACAAAATACTTTGCTCCTATAATTCCTTGATTTTGGACAATGGAAATTGGGTTGACGTGTGTTTTTTGAACTAATACTGTGATAAAAGCATGTGTACAGTTGCCCCTTCCCCTCAGAAAAAATTGCTGTGCATGGGCTACTGAGATTATTGAATGGGCATGTTGTCATTGAACTTGACTGAACTGCCGTCTGTACCCTTCCCATTGTCCCTTGCGGTTCATCACCAGTCACTCGCGTTTCGCGCTCGCCATGCGAAAAACGAAGCGCCTGAGGAGGAGGCTGGTTCTGGTCACTTTCAAAATGGACGCCAAAGGAACGACGGCAATGAGCATGAGCAAAAGAAAACTCCGCTGACAAGCATTCCGCTCTTTTCTAGGCCCCATTCTCTTTTGTTTTCTCAGTCTATGAAAAAGGGGTAGATCATTCTATTTTTGCGCAAGCACTCATTGAGATCAATCTTGCAAATATCGGCAGCTGTTAGTATTCTCTGCGATTCTTATCACTTATAATCGAAAGTAATGGCAACCTCGCACACCTCACTGAGTCTGTAATGTAACGAGCGCGAGTAATAGAGAACCGAGTAATGTCGCTATCTCAAAAGTAAATTTACTTTTATTCACCTTGATTGTTCGCGAAGGCAAAATTTCTGAAACATTTATCTCGCAGTCCTATACATTCTCAGTAAATTTCACAAATCGAAAAAACAAGCTAATGCTAACTATCATCTGTCGATTAAGAAAAGTCAAGCGCTCCTGAAATGCTTTTTTAGATCTCAAGTGTAGCGTTTGCCTTGCGCTGGGCTCAGAAAACGAAACCATGCTTTGTGACACTTAGAACTTTTTTCAGGTCGACTGCCGGGCAGTCCGGTATTTTTGATAAATTTGACTTATCTAAGAATCCCAAACGAAGCGAAACAATTACAATACTTTTTCAGCACAAGTGTTATCCCGTATTTCTTGGTAATTTTAGAGCGTTCAGCCACGGTATTTTCGGTAATTTTATCTTTCTCTGTTGACTTGAAGAAAAAGACCTCTTTGGCTGACAAAATTGTCATCTCCACACAACAACTGATGATTCCCGAGCATCCGACTTTAGTACAACTTAAAACAAACTTGTTCTTCAAATTTACCTGAATGCAATATCTTGTTCAGTTTTACCCAATCGTGTTCCCTTTGGCATTTCGTTATTCCTTTTTTGCTCTTTTACATTTTCAAGCAGTAATACTTCAATATTTTCTGAGTCAATTTTTTGATCGTCTGGTAAGTACCGAAATTGCCTTATAGACCTGTTAGTGTGGGATCAGTCTAGCTCCATATAAAGTAATTGTTTTTGTTTGTTTGTTTATAGCTGTTGTTTCCCTCCATGTAAGATATGTGTTCGGGATACCGGAATCAGAGAAACAATTTGCTTGTGGAATGCGAAATCGTGGGATTTGGAATCTGTGATTCTACTCGAGGAATCTGGAATCCTTCTAATGATTGGAATCTGCACTCTAACTGCCAGGGTTATGGTGTTCAGATCGCGCTGGTCAAATTTTCGGCCGTACCGGCTAAAAATTTGACCTAGGTTGTGGCGTTCAAATTTTTGACCGGTTCTGTTAAAAGATCTCCTAAACGCATGAATATTCAACCGGTCGAAAGTTTGTCCTCGATTTTTCCGGTGCCATGTGAACGAAGTTTGCATCTAAACCTCGTCCCCAGAAATTTTCTCTTTCAAAAGTTTACAATTCTATCAATTTTTCTACAAAATGCATTGAGATTCCTCATTGCTGTTAAGCATTCTATTCTTTCAGAGTTAGATGACGTAAAATCTGATTCGGCTGCCTGATGAAATACCAGAAAAAAATCAGCCATATCAGTTCAACGAGAGGTAGCTTTTTTTGTTGTAATACTGGGCCAAATTATTCTAGATGCAGATTATCTTCTTGTAGAAAGAAATTGGGCACGAATTGTACTCTGCCTGGTAAAGATGCTGGTAAACTTAATCTCCAATAAACGAGCATTAAACTACAGGGGGCGTCTTACGGGAATAAGTTTATACATCTTCCTTTTTGGCAGAGCAGAGAGTTAATAGACCTTATTCACGATACCCACCATCTTTGCACACGCTTTAGGATTGATGGGATAATTAACAATTATTCCTCGAGCCCGAGCTGTGAGTCAATAGCCCGTGAGGCCGAAGGCCGAATTGGCTATTGACTCAGAGGCCATGAGGGCGAGAGGAATAATTGTTTTAGTAAAACCCAACTAGTTGGTCAAAAATATCGAGACAACAACTTTTAGCTGGTTAAAGGTAGACGTAAATCCTTTTTTACCGCCAAAAGTCCGGGGCTCTTCGCTACTAGTGGGTTATAACATATAGCCTAGTAGTAGCTGAACCAATCAGAACACAGCATTGATAATAGACCACTAGTTGGATTTTACTAAAAGCAAATATCACGTGGTACATCAGGGGGCAAACAAACGATAAAATTTGCCGTTGCGAGAAATCGAGGTCCACTTTGTTTATTCTGTCAAACCGAAACAACTATCGATTCAGTCATGCAGAATGAACGGTTTGAGTTTCAACAAAACTTACGTCATTATTGCTTGCTACGATGACATCTTCGGTCGGTACTCCATTAAAAAAAGCAACAATGATCACTTCCACCCATAATTTGCTATTATCGTCTTTAATCAATTCCTCGAGCCCGAACGGGTTCTGAGTCAATAGCCCATGAAGCCGAAGACCGAATGGGCTACTGACTCAGAGGCCATGAGGGGGAGAGGAATAATTGTTCTAGTAAATTCCAACTAGTTGGTCAAAAATATCGAGAATAAAAAAAAAATTAGCTAGTTAAAGCTAGACTTTAATCCTTTTTTGTCGCCAAAGAGCCCGCGCTTTTCGCTACTGTTGGGCTATAACATATAGCCTAGTAGTAGCTCAACCAATCAGAACACAGCACTGATAGACCACTAGCTGAATTTTACTAAAAAGAGTTATTCATTTTCTGTTGTCAAGAGTAAACAAAGTTGACTGCGATTTCTTGTATTGGAAAAATTTATCACTTGTTTGCCCCCTGAGAAACCACAAGACATCACTTTTTTATCCCATCAGTCCTTAAAAGCGAGTGCAAAGATGGCGGGCATCGTGAATAAGGTCTATGGCATGTAATTTTTAAGTTACGTATACGTACATATACTCTGAGTGGCGTGGTAAATTCAGCGAACATAGAGTGGTCGGGCGTCAAGTGGTCGATTACGAGGGGTCAAAAACAACGGAAAAATATTAAACCATGCAGCCAAAAGGTGGTCGCAGTCGCTTATAAGAGATGGTCGCTTTCGAGAGTTTCTATTTATAGGGTTCTGACTGAGAAAATTTTGGTAGTTTGCAAACATGGTCGCTTAGAGGAAGATGTCGTTTACAATAGAGATGGTCGCCCGTGGAGGTTCGACTGTAATGTTCGTTGTATCTCGATGAGATCATCTGAAAATAACATACCTGACTGATGCGACACCACTGTTGAAGATACAAGCAGCATAGAAGACGGTGAGGGTGTTTCAGGCGTGCTTTGATCTATTGCCAGAGTAGTGCCCACTACAACAGCTGTCAAATGGCTTTGTTGCAAGCTGCTTACAGAAATACTTGATGATGGCAACAGCAAGGAAGATTCTGAGGTCACTCCGGATGTACCTTGTTCTGTGATCAGATTCGAACTCATTGTGGCGACAGATGATGAATCACTTCTGGGTAGAGTGCTTGAAGGAACAACTGATGTTGACACAAGAACTGATGACGTCACCAGCACAGATAAGACCAACGTTAAGGGGGTTATAGTTTGCTTGTTTGCCATGCCAGCGCTCAGTACCTCAAATGGCGAACTACTTATGGCCAAAGTACTTGAATGAAAATCTTTTGAGGATGACATCGACAGAGACGACAATGAAGGTACAGCGGCTGTATTTTGGCTTGCCACATTTGAATTCACTGCTGCATCCAAAACACCCGTTGACTTGCTGTTTGTATGATCTGATGATAACCCTGAGGCAGATGTCATCAACACTAGGGAAGCTGAAGACAATAGACGTAATTTTTGATATTGTTTGTATGTAGGTGCAGTGGCGGATCCAGACCTTCAGGTAAGGGAGGGGGAGCGGTCATCCAGACCCTGAGATAACGGAGGAGCCCGGACTTAACAAAAAGTTTTTTCGGCCCTTCGGGCCTCACTGTTTGGTCTAAAAGTAACGGTGGGGGGCTGGCCCCCGGGGCCCTTCCCTGGATCCACCACTGACTATTGTCCGTCTTGAGAGTAGTTGACTGTACACGAAAACGGTTGTCCGTAAAAGTAAATGAACAAAATATTTGTGTGCGAGTTGGTACATACAAAGAATTGAAACTTATTTTTAATTCCCTATCTTTACAACTGTCGTTAGACCCTATAAAAGAAAGAGGATTACTACGGTACTAGCTTTCGATAACTCTGGGTTGTCGTCAATTCTCTTGTTTAGTCTTGTCTTTGGGCACCCAACGACTGTTTTCTGTAAAATATCTGTTTGGAAAAGCAAAACTTGTCTGTACTTTTCTATAGCTTGAAGACGACTAAAAATTTCTAGATGACCGTTCCATTAACGTACAATTTTCGAAGCTTATCTGGTAAGTCCCCTACGATTTTCTGAAATTAATTTTTCGCATTCAGCTCCCCAGGTTAAGTTATTTTTCGTAGAAAAAGGAAACCTAAAATTTTCTGATTTTAAATGTGATGAAGAGAGGAACCACTGAAATCTCACTTTCGTAAATCTTAAACTGCATCTAAAGTTTTCTGGAAACTGAACCCTGAAGTTCTTGTAATATTTCAGGTTGCCTTAGAATGACCAGGTAGATTCATAGCGTCTCTCAAAATGCATTTCTATAGAGCTATGAAAGTACTCTGGATAGCCTAAAAAGTGTTTTAAATGTTTTAAGGAGGAAACCGTCGTTGGGTACGGTGTCCCTGAACTTTGAGCATTTCACCTTCGATTGCTCATGACTTACTTAAGAATGGGAACAAGCCACGAGCCCATTGCATTTTATCCATACCTGAGTAGAGAACAATTCAATAATACAAAAGACAAATTAGAATTTATTCAAGATATGGTTCTAATATTTGTGCTGCAACTAAATTAGAAGTCATGCAATATGCAGGAAGGATGTCAAATATAAACCTAGTATAATTAGCCTCGCTCTCCTTGAGTTCTCTGTGGCTCAAGTGGATAGAGCACCTGCCCAGTATTTGGGAGGTCATAGGTTCGAATCCTGTCAAGAAAGACTCAGATTTTTTCTTTGCCCCACGCTCGTGCATGCTGATTATTTCATTTTCACATAAATTAGAAGTTGTTGTCACGGAAAATTTATGGAAACTTCAAAACAGAATTACGGAAAATTTAGGAAAATCCTGACCGTAGGCGACCACATTAATCTTCGCATTTCTCTCTCCTCAACAGAAGCCTCTTTTGTGTTACAGGGAGAGAGGCTGGGGAGAAAGAAAGAGAGAGCGCGCTGGGCACGGTGGGAAGGGGGAAAACAGAAGAGACGCTTAGGGTAAGGGCAACGCTTTCTATCTTTAGATTCTTGCTATTTTTATTGGGAAATCCAGCGGGAGCCTATGCGGAGGAAATAGTTCGCATTTTGGGTGTTAGAGTACGTGGGGCAGCTAACTAGTTAGTTTCGAATTATCAAAATTCATACTGGGTTCCAAGGCTGATGAGGAAAAAAAAAAAGCAATTATTCACCCCTGAATATTAATGTGATTTTAATAATTAGGAAAATATTAGAATTTAACAATTGCATTTTAAATAACTTGAAACTGGCTTGTTAGGTGTGTTAACAAGGTACTTAATTATTGATGTTTTAATAATTTAAAGAACTGAAATGGTGTAATAAAGAAACGTGTGCCCGCAAATTCTCAACTAGAAACCTCCAATTACGTTCAACTTAGAAAGGTGGTCATGCAAAAATGATTATGCTCATAGTCTTAATATAATACGACAGCAGCAGGCTACGTTATCCAAAGCTGAAAAGGATATCTTTCTGAAGGGGAATACTGAATTTTTTAATCTAGGGTTGATTTAGGAAAGACCAGTATCAGAAAAGCATTTCGTTAATGGGCTAATTTTTTCCGGACAAAACATGTAATAGTCGCTAGTTGTCGCGCAGCAATTTACTAATGCATGGTGGCAACGTCGCGAAAGAGCTATACGAAATATGTACCAGCGCACACCACATAAACTTTGTTTAAGAATGCCTGCTCGGCCTTCATAACAATATTGCTTACTCATTCCTAAATCGCAGATTTTAATAAGTTTTTCTGATTTTTTAAAAATGAAATAGTAACTCACTAAAACACAGAGAAACTTAGAAAATTGATCGTAACGTAAATCCTCCATGTCAAATCATTTGAGGCCGGTTGTCTACGATCTACTAATTTCTAGTATAGAGTTTGGCCTTTAACCATAAACTAATTACAACAAGACCGTCGCAGTTCTATGGTCAGGAACAAGAAACGCTCATCGCAACAAACCTAACCATTCAGTATTGCAAACAAGTAAGCAAGTTCAGCCTAAAAAGATTTGCACCATTGTTTCTTGTTTAGCCATGGTATGCTCATATTGGAAGCGTAAATACGAAAAATAGAGTTCACTTCCTTGTTTGAGCTCAGTGGCTTCGCATTCATGGTAACTTAAATATGACATTCCTGCTTCCCTCTTATCTGATGTAGCATAGGTTATGCACCTTAACTTGCCTTTGAGTCAAAGATATCTACTGTTACCTCCAAATCGTAGAAATCTTGGTAACTCTTGATAGTTTATTAAGCCTGAGAAGCTGCGGCTAAGCTTTCCTGGCGTGATATCGAGCAGACGTTTGAGGCCAAAATAACTCCTCACCCATCGGCTTTTTAAACAGTCGACAGGTAAGAAGACAGTTTTCTTTGTCGTTGTTCATTCAGCCATTATATCCAAAGATGACAATCAGACAATATGACGACCAAAAACAAAATATAAGTCTTTGATTAAAAACACAAATAGATTCGAAGGAAAGGTTTTAGTAATTAACCCTATCTTAATTTCTGCCGGCCACAGCTGCTTGTACAACTGTTGTTAGGTTAAACTACCTTGACTTCAGGAGCTTATTAGACCGATATACCCTTTATGAAATTCTGACTAATTATAAGTACACTCAAGCATACTAAGGCATAGCCTGAGGCTAATTTGCATAAAATCTTATTATGATCATAACTTTGTGAGAATTTATCAGAACCTTCCAGAATTTGGCAACCTCGGAAAAATCGGTAACCTTAATTTTCCTGTAACTTAAGAAATCAGATATCTGTGTCACGTGACCACTTATGGTCGAGTCCAGGAAAGAAAAGAAAACTAAAAATGGGGTGGCGAGATGCCACACAGTATATATTAAATACAGTATTTTTGTCATTTTATCATCATTTCTCGCTTGAATCTGGCCGGAATGGTTGACTCACGTTTTTATTTAATTAGTAATTAAGCAAAATAGGTCACGTGACACTTTTCACCTGTTAATATCTTTTTAAGAAATTAAAAATTCTCTCCGTTCAGGCATCGAAAAAAATTCGTACGGTAAAACAAATATTTACACATGCATGGTTCAAACTTAGTTGTAATAAACCATTCCTACTCCATTTTGAACTTCTTTTGAATATCATTATGATGTCAAGTTTCAAGTGACTACATCAATTCAACCCTGATTAAATCAATGCCTCAAAAGAAAGTTTCTCAAAGTTTTTTGCAACTTTTAGAATTAAAATGCATGGCCGTAGAAAAAAAAAAACAGCTTTATCTTCGCGGGGGGTTGAGCCATGCGTTGACATGCTTGGGGAAAGAACAGACTTGACTGCGCTTTCTCTTTTTGTTTACATTTCTATAGCATAGCTGTCATCAGTGCTGGCCTTTTTCGATTGCCATCTATTAATAGACTAACTGAAGCATCCAAAAAAAGAGCTATTATAGAAATCTGAAAAAAATAAATCAAATGACAAGTCAATCATACTAAATACCGTAGTTATGAGTACCATGTTCACTAGCACTCATAACTCCTACAAGTGGTTGAAATATTACTTTAATCGACAAACAACATCATTTTCATACGAATCATAATTTTCTCACTAACCAACTCAAATATTCACTTGGTATGTTTTGCTTTACAACTAAGAAACCCCTCAATGTCTTCAATGCACCATTAGAAAACTTATTGTGGGAAGGGGGAGAGGGGCCAAGTGCAAAAAAAATATTCGCCAAAGGAAAATGAAATGAAAAAAATTCATGCACGCCAATTAACCCTAAAAAATATTTATGCTTTAGCCTAAAAAAATTTCATACAAGGAATTTGATGACGAAAAAAAAGTTCCTGCGGCTCGAAAATTCACCACCCACCCCCCCATAACTTTTCTAATGGTCCGTCCCCTAAGGAGATTAAGATGTCGACGACGGTGACGGCAACGAAAACGTCAAAAACGCAATGGGCTTAGATTAGCAAAACAACAACTTTGCCAGGTGCAGCACACGTTTT